TTGTTTGCTCTTTGTGTACACATTTCTGGGAATGTGTAGTTCTCAGCGTGGGTGTAGTTATCTGTGTGAGGGTGTATATATTTGTAGGACCCAAGGGAAGACTGTAAATGGTCTACACTGCCCCTCCTCCTATGTTATCAGGATAGATTAGTGTCATACATGACACATTTAATTGGTATCCTTAGAATGCTACACAGGATAAGAATCAGCTCCACTGAACTTGAAACAGAAAAAAAGAATTTTCTTCAGTGTTTTTTTCCTGTTGTGCAGACCTGTCTGCCTGTAGTCATGTATAATGTGCAATGAATGGGCAATGCCTCTAATAGCCTCCAATGACATCATACTTTAGCACCAGAATCCAGGGTGGACCGAGCTCAGAGTCCAAGAAGCGCAGCCAAGCCCATTCTGAGCTCATCTGTGTTTTTTAGTTTCAGTTCTTGACCAACTAGTTGTAAAACAAACTGCTTAACCTTTCACTTCTTTTGGTTTCTTTTCTGTAAATTGGGTATAAACAATACCCTTCTTAGAGGACTCTATTGAGAACACTATAGTCATCATGCCATACATTTTATCTCCAGAACTTATTTATGTTTTAACTGAAGTCCTGTACCTTTTAACCACATCTCCATATCCTCCCTCTCCAGCCCCTGGTAACCACCATTCTACTCTCTGTTTATATGAGTTTCACCTTTTTCTTCTTTTTCTTTTTCCTTTAGTTCCACATATAAGAAAGATCACAGACTATTTGTCTTTCTCTGTGTGGCTAAGTGAAATACTTAGCATAATGCCCTCCAGACTCATCCATGTTGTTGAAAATGATAAGATTTCCTTCTTTCTCATGGATGAATAATATTCTGCTATCTATGTCTGTATCTACCACATTTTTCTTTATACATTTACCTGTCAAAAGGCACTTAGGTTTTTTCCATATCTTGGCTGTTGTGAACAGCATTGTATAAAACATGTGAGTACAGGTGTCTCTTTGAGATCCTGGTTTCATTTCCTTTGGGTATATAAACAGAACTGGGATTGCCGGACCGTACAGTTCTATTTTTAAGTTTCTGAGGAAGCTCTGCTCTGTTTCCCATCATGGCTGCACCAGTTTACATTCCCACCAATGGTACAGGAGGGTTCCCTCTTCTCCACATCCTCTCCAACACTTGTAATCTCTTGTCTTTTGATAATAGTCATTCTACCAGGTGTGAGGTGGTAGATCATTGTGGTGTTGGTTTGCATGTCTCTCATGACTAGTGATGTTCAGCACCTTTTCATGTACTTGTTGACCATTTGTGTGTCTTTTTTTGAAGTAATGTCTATTCAGGTTCTTTGCCCATATTTGATCAGATTATTTGTTTTTCACAAAGTTGCTTAAAGTCTATTTTGTGGGATATGAATACAGCTACCCCTGCTCTCCTTCAGTTTCTATTTGCATGGAATATCTTTTTTCCATACCTTCACTTTGGGCCTATGTAGGTCCATGATGCTTAAGTGAGTCTCTTGTAGGCAACATATAGTCAGGGCTTGTTTCTTAATCCATTCAGCCACTCTACGTCCTTTGATGGGAGAATTTAAAATAATTTACATTTAAAATGATTATTGTTAAGTAAGGACTTACTAATGTCATCTTATTACACGCTTCCTGCTGTTTTGTATTTCCTTTGTTCCTTTCTTTTTCTCTTGCTGTCTTCTTTTGAGAAGTGATGATTTTCCACAGTAATGTGTTTTAATTCCCTTCTCCTTATCTTTTGTGTACCTGCTATAGGTTTTTGCTTTGTGGTTACCACGTGGCCTACACAAAACATTTTACAGTTATGTGGCAGTTTAAGCTAGTAACAACTTAACTTGGGTTGTATACAAAAACATTTTATGTTTTTGATGTCACAATTTATGTCTATGTTATTAACAAATTATTGTAGCTGTAGTTATTTTTGAATACTGTTCTCTAACCTTTATACTGGAATTACATGATTTTAACACACCATCATATTACTGTATTCTGAATTTGATGATATACTTACCCTTATTTTGTATTTTCTTATGTTTCATGTTACTAATTGGCATCATTTCAGTTTGAAGAACTCTTTTCAGCATTTCTTGTAAGGTAGGTCTGTTGGTGGTAAACTCCCTTGGCTTTTGTTTGTCTGGAAAAGTCTTTATCTCTTCTTTGTTGCTGAAGCACAGCTGTTCCAGGTAAAGTAATCTTAGTTGGCAGGTTTTTTGTCTTTCAGCATTTTTAATATATCATCCCAATTCTTTGCTGGCCTGCAAGGTTTCTGCTGAGAAATCCACTGATAGCCTGATAAAGCTTGTCTTGTATGTGAGGAATGTTTCTTCTCTTGATTTAAAGTTCTCTCTTTATCTTGATTTTTACTGTGATGTGTCTTGGAGATCTCCTTGGGCTGAATCTGTTTGTGGACCTATGATCTATGAGCATATAGGTGTCCAAATATCTCCCTAGATTTGGGAAGCTCTCAGTCATTATTTATTTAAATGAGCTTTCTGCTCCATTCTCCCTCTCTTCCCCTTCTAGGACTCCAGTAATGTGTAAACTATTTTGCCTGATGGTATCCCCTAATTTACATGGCCTTTCTTCACTTTCATTCTTTTTATTTTGTTCTCCTCTGACTGGGTAATTTTAAATGACCTCTCTTTGAGATCACCAATATATTTTATATGTAAAATATTTTGTATTTTATAAAATATTGTATTTTATTATTTATTATTATTTTAATAAGTAGTATTGTATATTATTATTATTATTTTTTATTCTTACTCTTTTTTATCCTCTTTACACTGCTCTCATCAGGCTTTTTCCCACTACAGTATATCCTGGCCTTCAGCCCATGGTGTTACAGAGCAACCCATCTCATTTCTTAGTACAGCTGTATAGTTCTTTGTGGTGTAGGTTTACCATGATTTTTTTCAATTAGTTTTCTGTTGATCTTGTTCCCTCAGTCTGAATCCTGAAGATAACCATCTGATAAAAATCCATAACAAGGAGAACAAACAAAAAACTTACACAGAAAGAGGAGCACGGAGAATGAAGCCTATGTAGAGAAAACAAAAACAGCTATTAATACCTGCAGGAAGGTAAAAAAAGATATATAACATGAAAAAGAGAATGGGGTACTCTAACAGAGGAAAGCCAACAGAATAAGACAGAGGTCTTGGAAAAATCAAAGCCTGGTATCAGAAATAAAAAAACTCATTAAGAAGAATCAGAAAATAAAGTTGAGGAAATCTTCTAGAAATTAGAGACAGAGAAAAAAAGACATATGATAGAAAATTGACAATCAGGGGACTGTATCACAGGGACTAATCCTGGAAATTCAATATTTGAATAAAGAATTTCCAAAAAGAAAGAATAGGGAAACTGGAGAAGGAATAATCAACAAAATTATCCCAAATTATTTCCCAGAACTGAAGAGCTGAGTTTTAAGACTGCAAGAAACCATCTAGTATATAGTGGAATGGATGAATGGGCCTGCATCAAACCATATAATTGTGTAATTTGAAAATACTGAGGAGGAAAAGATTTTCAGGCTTTCAGAAATTAAAAAAAAAAAAAAGAGGCCACATGAGGTAGGTAATTGTATGTTTTCAGAAGTCTGCCAGCAATACTGGAAGCTACTGGTCACTGGAGTAATAGCTTCAAAAATCCTGAAGGAAAATGATCTCCAACCTAGAATTTTATACCCAACCAAACTATATGCAGGGTGCCAGTTTCCAGATAAGCACAATCTAAAAAGAAAAAAAAAAGAGAAAGAAAATGATTACCTGATGCTCCATAAAACTGGAAAAAGAAAACAACACACATCAACAGGGAGTAGCAGCATTATTTAGAGGCAGAAGCAAAGCCATCAAAATGATCAGTTAACAGAGGTAAAGTGGTTGCCCTGGGAATAAGTCAGGAGAGAGTACTGCTCTTTTAACTGAGAATGAACAATTTTGACAAAAATAGAAAAATAGTAGAAAGAGAAGAAATAGTTTTAAAAAGAAAGATGACTATTTTGAGGACTATGATGAAAGATACAGAGGAAGGAGACAAAAGGATTCTGAAATGCTTATGAAAACTGGTCAAAGGATGGTCAAACTTTAGAGGCAACGTTTTAGTCTGCACCCTCACCAATCTCTTGACTTGCTTGCCTAAATATAAGAACCTGGCTGGACCTTCTGGAAGCAGAGACTACTTGCAGTTGGCTCAAAAGAAGAGGCATGCTAGAAAAGGTGACATGGACCATTCCTAAATACAGAACAGGGAAATATTGGGAAAACATTGGAAAAGGGATGTGTAAAGTTTTCTGAAAGTGAAAGGACCAATGATGTCTGGGAAATGTATCTCCAACTATCTGGAGCCTAGTGGTGTTTCCCAAACTTTGCTTCATGTTATAATCTGCTATAAAAATCCTGATGCCTATATCAGCCCCGATACCAGTTAAATCAGGCTATCTCGGAGTAGGAGCCAGACATCAGTGTTTTTTAAAAAGTCCAATGTGCAGCCCCTGAGGTATAATGTTTGTGTGAGGAGGCTAAGACTGGAAGGGTAGGGTAAAACTGTGGAGTCTACAATGCCCAGGAGTCCAGTGCGATGGGGGGTGCCACTGGAAATGACAATGTGATCTTGGGGGAAGATTAGTGGGCAGAAGCAAAGGAGGTAAGACCGCAGACGCAAGGATCACTAGTCAGGCTGAAGGCTAGTCCTTGACTCAGAGTAAACAGCACAGAGAAGCCCACGGGCTGTGCATTAGGTGTGCCCCATGTCACCAAGCCCTCCCTGTCTCCTGAAACAGCGCTGTTCTCGCTGGGGCTCTGCAGCTTCCTTCCCTCTGTGGGACGCCTGGTGTGGCAGTCCCGGAGGGGCGCGGGGGGGACACCAGGAGGTGGTGCAGGCTTCAGCCTTGCATCATGAGGGTGGCACTGCTCCTGGTTGGGCCTCGTCCCTGGCGTGTCATTAAGGAGCCCCCGTAGCAAGAAGTTGCAAATCAGACCGAGGAGAAGGGGCATGCAGCCAGAGAGGTGGAGATGGCAGAGTCACCACGAGGTCGGGGGCCGCGGCCGCCTTGAGCCCGAGTGCCCCGCGTCCGGAGATGAGACGTCCGGAAACAGAATGAGTACCAGTCCCCGGAGTGCCCCGCGGCCCGCGAGGCCGGCAGCGCTCATTGACGGCCGCCCCCGGTTCCTATAGGAGGGGACAGGAGAGGGGAGGGAGGCCAGCAGGCCGGCGGCCCACCATCTCCCGGGTCCCCGACGCGCGCGCCGGCTCGCCCAGGCGGGATGCACCGGTGACCGGACTGGTTGGAGGCTGTGCGCTGGGTTCCTCGTGGAGAAGCGCTGGCTTTCAGAGGCGGCGGAGAGCCAGCCCACTGGAGCGCCGCGCGCCGGGTGGGAGACACGGAGACGCCTCTTTTGAGCACGGTGACAAACACCACCCTCCCGGCGGCGATGCGCACGTGACAGTTTTCGGGCTCCCGCAACTACACGGCAACTTGGCCTGGGTCTGCGGCTGCACACACGGCCCCGCACCTGCCGCCCGGGTGCGACAGCTGAGCCCCGAGAGCTGGGGGTCCCGCGCGGCCGCCCCCGCCCTGCCCAGGGCCGCGGCTTCCTCCCCGGCCTGCGAGGCGACCCCGCGGCGGCGGCCAGGCCATGTGGGACCCGCGGGCAGCGAGGTGCGTAGCGGCGCGGAGACGCGGGGCGGCCTGGCCTTCCGGGCCGGGGTAGGGGGGCGAGGGCACGCGCAGCGGCCGGGCTGCGGCGGTGGCCTGCCCCGAGCCCACCCTCCCCGAACCTGGGCTCGGGTCCACCTCCCGCCGCCTCCGCGCTCGGGCCGCCGGCAGGTTGCGGAGAAGAGCCGCGCCCGCGCCCCCAGCCGCGCGCTCGCGGGGGAGTGGGGCGGGAGCTACGGGGAGCCAGCGAGCGCGGGCCGCCTACCCGCAGGCGGAGGCTCGGGATCCGGGCCGATGGGCCTCGTCCCCAGCCCACGCGAGCGCGGGCGGGCTTCCCGAGAGGGGCCGAACGAGGCGCGGGCGGGCAGCAGCCGCGTCCCGGAGCCCAGGCCTCTGGCCCGGGGGCGCCTCCCGGAGCCCCGCGCCCCGGCCGTTCCCCAGAGTCCCCAGAGCGCCGCATCGTCCGGAGCCCTGCGCCCCTCGCCGCCCCGTGTCCCTGACCCTGTGATCTCTGACGCCCCGCAGCAGGAGCGCGGCCTTTTCTTGCGCGCGGGCGGCTCTGCCCCAGCCAGGCGTTTCGGGAGGCCACAAACGTTGTCGCTTCCTGCGAAAGATTGTAGGGCAATGTGCAACTTGAAAAATAAAGGCACATTTGGAAAATAGGGGAGAAGAGGGCTCTGAGGCCTCTGGTCCCCGCGCAGTCGCTGGGGGCCCTGCTAGACGTCCTGCGGGAGGAGGCGCGGGGGTCCAGTGTCTGCGCCCCAGCCCTGCGCTCTCGTGCTGGGACTCACGGCCCCTTTTCCGGGCAAGGCTTTTACCGATGGCCTGGCCTCTTGTTGGGCATTCTGTTCTGTGTCCCGTGGAGAGGACGGCCTTGTAGAGAGTAGCGTTAGTTTCTCTTGTGTTCTGTTCAGTTACATAGGATCGCAGGCTGAGTACTTGGGTTCCAAGTGGGCCTCCCTGGTTCTGGCTTCCTCTACAGGGGATGGAGGTAGGATCGGGCGTGGGGCTTCACCCCTAGGGCGACCCCACTGCTCCAGGGTATGGGGCTTCTCAGTCTTTTTTAAACCAAGACCCAACAGTGGAGACCCCCTACCCTCCACAAACATATTTGCGTATAAACCTGCAAGGAGAGCCTCGCAGTATATTAATTCTCTCTACAGGGTGAGGCACGATGGTATTTTCTATTCTATTCTATTATGTTTCTTTAGAAAGTCATAACCCATTAACGTGATTTTATGACCAGCTAACCGGTTTTAGGTGGCACCTGCAAGCTGCCTTGGGGCTTGCAGAGAGGGTGAGGGGACCATCGGTACTTCACTGGGGCACTAACGTGTGAAGTGGGGAGCTGATGGAGGGGAGATGAGGGAGGCTGGCGTTCACACTTTAGTGGGAATTTAGGTAAAGAGTGATCCGCAGGATGTGTGAACATCACATCAGTGGCATCTGCCAAGGCAGCCCAGGGGATGCTGGCAGTTACTCCAGTTCTGTCCATACGGAGCTGGCCACCCGCCATGGAGCCCAGTGGCCATGCCTGAGTGCAGGGAGGAAGAAGACAGGCAGGTGCTGCAAGGTTGGCCCCACTCTGGATACATAAATTCAGAAGGGAACTCTCACTTGCCACTCAGAACATCATAGCTGCAGTGCCTGACGTGGGGCCATGGACAACTCTTACATGAAGAAACTGAGAACCGTCATCTGTTCGTCATTAAGCTAATTAGTGGTAGTTCTGGGATTAGACACTGTTGACTTCCTAGTCCATGGCTCTCAGGGACCAAATGGAGACTTCGTCCTTGTGGAATTTGTACACTTCTCTTTGCTGATGATGTTCTTTTTTCCTGGGCTGCCACCAAAGGCCCCTTTCTGTGGCATACACCCAGTTATTGTTACAGCTTTGCTGCTCTGGATGAAGATGCCGTTTGTGTGTGTTCTTGTGTCCCACCTGCATGTGCTAGGCTCAGGAAGTGCTCTCTGGCAGTAAATTATGACAGTGAAAAGGTTCCCTCATTTACATCCCACCTTACAGGATCATTGTCCTTTCTTTTTGTCTGTAGCTGCTGACTTTCACTTTTTACTTTAGATGCATTGAAGGTCTGGTTCCATTTCTCACTCTTAAAGCTTCAGCTGTCACTGGGAAAAATGCTACAAAGACATGTTCTGTACTGTATTACCATTTTTACATTTACACTGACCAGATACCCAACATAAATGCTGTAACCGCGCCCCCAGCCGCGCGCTCGCGGGGGAGTGGGGCGGGAGCTACGGGGAGCCAGCGAGCGCGGGCCGCCTACCCGCAGGCGGAGGCTCGGGATCCGGGCCGATGGGCCTCGTCCCCAGCCCACGCGAGCGCGGGCGGGCTTCCCGAGAGGGGCCGAACGAGGCGCGGGCGGGCAGCAGCCGCGTCCCGGAGCCCAGGCCTCTGGCCCGGGGGCGCCTCCCGGAGCCCCGCGCCCCGGCCGTTCCCCAGAGTCCCCAGAGCGCCGCATCGTCCGGAGCCCTGCGCCCCTCGCCGCCCCGTGTCCCTGACCCTGTGATCTCTGACGCCCCGCAGCAGGAGCGCGGCCTTTTCTTGCGCGCGGGCGGCTCTGCCCCAGCCAGGCGTTTCGGGAGGCCACAAACGTTGTCGCTTCCTGCGAAAGATTGTAGGGCAATGTGCAACTTGAAAAATAAAGGCACATTTGGAAAATAGGGGAGAAGAGGGCTCTGAGGCCTCTGGTCCCCGCGCAGTCGCTGGGGGCCCTGCTAGACGTCCTGCGGGAGGAGGCGCGGGGGTCCAGTGTCTGCGCCCCAGCCCTGCGCTCTCGTGCTGGGACTCACGGCCCCTTTTCCGGGCAAGGCTTTTACCGATGGCCTGGCCTCTTGTTGGGCATTCTGTTCTGTGTCCCGTGGAGAGGACGGCCTTGTAGAGAGTAGCGTTAGTTTCTCTTGTGTTCTGTTCAGTTACATAGGATCGCAGGCTGGGTACTTGGGTTCCAAGTGGGCCTCCCTGGTTCTGGCTTCCTCTACAGGGGATGGAGGTAGGATCGGGCGTGGGGCTTCACCCCTAGGGCGACCCCACTGCTCCAGGGTATGGGGCTTCTCAGTCTTTTTTAAACCAAGACCCAACAGTGGAGACCCCCTACCCTCCACAAACATATTTGCGTATAAACCTGCAAGGAGAGCCTCGCAGTATATTAATTCTCTCTACAGGGTGAGGCACGATGGTATTTTCTATTCTATTCTATTATGTTTCTTTAGAAAGTCATAACCCATTAACGTGATTTTATGACCAGCTAACCGGTTTTAGGTGGCACCTGCAAGCTGCCTTGGGGCTTGCAGAGAGGGTGAGGGGACCATCGGTACTTCACTGGGGCACTAACGTGTGAAGTGGGGAGCTGATGGAGGGGAGATGAGGGAGGCTGGCGTTCACACTTTAGTGGGAATTTAGGTAAAGAGTGATCCGCAGGATGTGTGAACATCACATCAGTGGCATCTGCCAAGGCAGCCCAGGGGATGCTGGCAGTTACTCCAGTTCTGTCCATACGGAGCTGGCCCCCCGCCGTGGAGCCCAGTGGCCATGCCTGAGTGCAGGGAGGAAGAAGACAGGCAGGTGCTGCAAGGTTGGCCCCACTCTGGATACATAAATTCAGAAGGGAACTCTCACTTGCCACTCAGAACATCATAGCTGCAGTGCCTGACGTGGGGCCATGGACAACTCTTACATGAAGAAACTGAGAACCGTCATCTGTTCGTCATTAAGCTAATTAGTGGTAGTTCTGGGATTAGACACTGTTGACTTCCTAGTCCATGGCTCTCAGGGACCAAATGGAGACTTCGTCCTTGTGGAATTTGTACACTTCTCTTTGCTGATGATGTTCTTTTTTCCTGGGCTGCCACCAAAGGCCCCTTTCTGTGGCATACACCCAGTTATTGTTACAGCTTTGCTGCTCTGGATGAAGATGCCGTTTGTGTGTGTTCTTGTGTCCCACCTGCATGTGCTAGGCTCAGGAAGTGCTCTCTGGCAGTAAATTATGACAGTGAAAAGGTTCCCTCATTTACATCCCACCTTACAGGATCATTGTCCTTTCTTTTTGTCTGTAGCTGCTGACTTTCACTTTTTACTTTAGATGCATTGAAGGTCTGGTTCCATTTCTCACTCTTAAAGCTTCAGCTGTCACTGGGAAAAATGCTACAAAGACATGTTCTGTACTGTATTACCATTTTTACATTTACACTGACCAGATACCCAACATAAATGCTGTAGAAATCAGCTTATGTGTATGTTTACTCAAAATGTCTACTATGTGGTCAATATAGTGAATGTCTACTATATTCTTCTTGTTATTTTAAAGGCTAACTTATATTTGGGCATTTATCATATACCAAACACATAACCCACTTGTTATCAATTGAGGTTTAAAATAGTGTTCAAAATGGAGGCTGTGTCTTGGACATCTTTGAATCCTTCTCTGTTCATAGGGTAGTTAACAGCATTGTGGTTGTTTCTGGTTTGTACTTTGTGTGGTTGGCTTTTAGGAAACTTGTGTCCTCCTCCAAGGGAATGGCTGACATTCCTTGGCTTTCCAGGAGATGGTCAGGAGTCCAAAACCACCAGTGAAATCATCTAGTTAATTAAGCCCCCAAACCTTTCTTCCTTTCCCATTTTCTCCAGCCTCATCATCTCTCTCTGGTAAGTACTGAAATAGCCAGAAAATCATTTATTCATGCAACAATGCCAAGCCCTTGGTTGCAGAAGTAGTAAGACTTAGTAAGACATTGTTCCTGCCCTCAGAGTTCAGTCTACTGGGGAAAGCAGAAAAACAGAGTGTGTAGCATGGAGCGTTTGAGACTTAGCACTGGGCCTGAAACATAGAGGCTATTTGGGAAATATATATCAAAGGACCAAGGAGATCATAACTCAGGATGTTAAGTGGCACAGGAAGTACGCACAGCCTCAAAGAGGCATTCAGAGCAGCAGTGTGACTGCAGCCCCCACCCTACCGGGTGGACAGGACAGAGGACAT